TTCTTGCTGCTGTTCTTAGCATGTATACATTGAATACAGTTTGTGCAGCATCATTTTATTCATCAACCCTACATAAAGTCATCCAGTTGCACATAATTGTAGTTGTTGTGGCTCTGGTTATAAAAAAAAAAGTAGCAGCTGTTAGATGCAGTATTTCAAGACTTTTGTTTCCACATATACCAGGCAAATCGGCTGTTGTTGGGTCAGAACGCGGAACGGGGTCAGTGATACAAGACAACTAACCTCAGTGGATTTGGGATCAAGATCTGACACTGGAAAACCAAACAATTCACCAGACATTGGAATTCTACCTTTCCTACGGTAAGTCCCCTGCATCCATCCATCCATTTTCTAATCGCTTATTCTCTTGAGGGTCGCGGGGGGGGCTGGAGCCTATCACAGCTTACACTGGGCGAGAGGCGGGCAGTTTGCACCAAATGATTTGGCTCACCACAATTCATTTGTTTCAGAAGAGTCTGTAGAAAACATGCTACTTTGTCGCCCCCCAGTGGTAGTACAAAAAAAAGACACTGTGGCAGCAGTAGCGGTCCCAGTCAACATTTTTTTCACTACAGCATGTCAAACAAAAACATATGCCATCAGAATAATTTGGAAATACACAATCACACACAAATTAGTGGCTTTAAATTCATGTTTTCATCTTATAAAAAGAGTGTTCACTTACTCTGACTTACTATAGTACTTGGGGAAATACATAGATGTCTGAAAAAATAAAGTTGGAGTTTTTTTTCCACCAAACAATAAAATAATTTCCTTCTTTTTTCAATATGAATTACACTAAAAGTATTTGTTCTTCTGAACTCCATCACACCATTACCAGCATGTCAGTGGCTTTGTATTACTTCCTGCTTTTTCTGTTATCATTTATTACTATCCAGACACCCATGTTTGTAACTCTGCAGATTTGATGCTTTTGTGTAAAGGATCCTTGGAGACTGCCACTAACTCTTGTTTATGTGTCTATGAAGGGTTCCACAGAACTGCCCACGGACATACAAGCTGATGTCCTCTGATCCTGATGGTGACAATGTTCGATGCAGATATGGAAATATAAGACATATAGAGTGTGGCACGTGTGACCAGCCTTCAGGCTTTGATTTAGATCAGGTTAGTTGAAAAATTAATTTCCTAAACCACTGTACAATACAGAACTAGGTTTGCCCTACTTAACTACCTCATGTTCACCTTCTTAGGGCTCTTGTTCATTACACTACCGCTCTGCCAGTGCCAACAGCAATATTTATGGATTTGAGATGGTGGTGGAGGACTTCCCACAAAACCCCATCACTCTGGCCTACAGTGATGGATCCCGAGCCGCCAAGATTCCACTGGCTGTGAGCAGGAAGAAACGATCCTACTATCATGCAACTACCCCATGGGGGTGGCATTATACCTCACCTCCTACCACAGCCTCGCCAAGATACCCAACCGCAAGGTGGTGGCATTATACAACTCCTCCCACCACAACCACATCAAGACCCACAACCCCATGGTGGTCTTGGCATACTACAACCACACAAAGACCCACAACCTCATGGCGGTGGTGGCATTCTACAACCCCATGGTGGTATTGGCATACTACAACCACAACCACACCAAGACCCACAACCCCATGGCGATGGTGGCATTCTACAACCCCATGGTGGTGGCATCCTACAACTACACCAAGACCCACAACCCCATGGCACTGGCATCCTACAACTACACCGAGACCCACAACCCCATGGCACTGGCATCCTACAACTACACCAAGACCCACAACCCCATGGCACTGGCATCCTACAACTACACCGAGACCCCCAACCCCATGGTGGTGGTATCCCACAACTACACCAAGACCCACAACCCCATGGTGGTGGCATCCTACAACTACACCAAGACCCACAACCCCATGGTGGTGGCATCCTACAACTACACCAACACACACACACCCATGGTGGTGGTGGTGGCATTCTACAACCCCATGGTGGACTACAACCCCAAGAACACCTGCAACCAGCCCTGAACACCCACTCAGCCAACAAACGCTGCAGTTCTCCTTTCTTGGTGAGTCTGATTTTATCTGTCCTCATTACTGTCAGACCACAGTTTCTATGAATCAATGTACTTATCACATCACAGCAAAAAAGTGATGCTGCACTAGCTAAATTGGGTTGAAAATGTCATGGTAAGATATATAGATGGTTAGATAGATAGATAGATAGATAGATAGATAGATAGATAGATAGATAGATAGATAGATAGACTTCTAATGTTTTATTTATTTAGTCAATAGCAGTCAAGCCACCCAAATTCTAGGAAAAAGAACTTGGCCTTTGTGTGATGTTAGGTACAGCCTAATGTTACAGCAGAAATCTTACTTTTGACAGATAATCCAAAACACTTGCTAAAGCATCACTGGGTGGCTCAGTGTGGCCAGAATACAACAGTTTTTGCACTTAAGAATTTCAATAAATCTGTTTTGTTGTTTTTTTTAACTCCAGTGGACCCACCTGCTCCCTCATGTCAGGAGGGACTTTACTTGCCAAAGCTTGTGCATCCAACGCCTAATAATGGAGCACGCTTTCAAGTAGAGGCCAACAAAGAAGTGGAGCTCAGGGTCAAGGCACTAGCTACATATGGAATGTAAGTGAGAATCTATGTGATCAGTGTTTACTTGTGGCAGCAAAACATTGTCATCATTTCAGCGAGTAGGATAACATCAGTAATAAGGAGGAAATATCTGGTTTCTTCATTTTGTTTTCATACAGAATAAATAATGTCATCATCAGTGGACCACTGAATATCAGCAAGCACAGGAACACACATGGCGAGTTTGTCATTAGGTGGACGCCTACACCAGATGACGTGGGAGAACATTTCCCCATCTGCTTTGCTGTTGAATCAGTGACTGGGTGAGCCGAGGGTTCCTTTCCATTGTGATAGAATTAATATGTGTGTATGTGTCTGTGTCACAACACCATTTCACCTTTTGCACATTTTACAGCTCCACTGTAACCACTGATCATGCCACACACCATCACAGCTACCATCACCATAACCACTCCAAATCCATATTCAGAGTAAGGGTGCTTTCACACATGAGTTGGGTTCATTTGGTCGCACCAGAGGGAAAAAAGGATGCATCGTTGCATTTTAGCTTTGGTTCAGTTCCTGTTCACACTGACTTTTAGCAAACACACCAAGAGGAGTAAATGAACCACACTAACCGTGCAAACAGACCTGAGTTTGTTTTAACCGAACCAAACAGGTTTGGTGTGAAAGCACCTAAAGAAACATTTCTGTGTGTTTGGTGTTTTGTGAACTACATGTCTAAGTAACAAGTTAGAGCAGCACACTGCTCATATTATAACTGATCCTGAGAGATTAAAATCAAGAAAGCTATGAACAAATAGGAAAGTTATTAAACTGCCAATTTAAAATCATTCACTTTATTCATTAAAAATGTGATGTCAGAGGAAAATGTGCATCAAAAGTAAAAAAAAAAATATTCAAAAGCTGATACCTTCTGCATTTTCAAACTCAGCCGTAATCCAGGAGACATTGTGACAAACAGCAGTAATAATTTTAGGACTTGCAGGTCCTCATTTAAAGTGTTAAATCAATGTTGACTTATGCCTTTCAGGTCTCGGGTCTATCAGTCCGAGATGAGGTGTGTTCTGGTGGAGGTCCATAGGGAGCTGGGTGAGTCACAAGGCTACTTTAATGTTAACATTTTGTAGTGTAAGTACAGCTATGATGGTGTATACTTTAACCAACTGTAGTGGCGGTGTCCTCGATATTCTGCTAGTAAACACCTGCTTACTTCCTAGTTACAACAGACAAATAGTAAGCATGCAACATGTATCAGAGAAAAGTAAATATTATCTAAATCACATTCCCAATATTTTCAAGTCAAAAGTTTTGTTTAAACGTCATTGTGCTTAAAACTGTGTATATCTTCTAAAATATAAAGGAACAGTTCACCTCAAAATCAATTGTTTTTTCTTACCTGTAGTGCTGTTTATCCAACTAGATATTTTTGGTGTGAGTTGCTGAGTGTCGAAGATATCAGCCATAGAGATGTCTGCCTTCTCTCCAGTAAAATGGAACTAGATTGTGCATGGCTTGTGGTGCTTAAAACATAAGGATAAATCCATTTAAAAAACTCAACAGCAATGTCTCTTTCCAGAAATCCTGACCCAGTTACTCAAGATAATACACAGACCTTGTTGTCAGCAGTTTCGTGTAGGACCTATTTTCTTTCCCCAGACAGACAACAAGAGATGTAAACATTAATGGTGTCCTCCACTGCTGAGCTGTAATGTTAGCTAGCTCAGGTGAGCTAGCAGTAGCCTTTAATCCTGGCATAGCGGCACACTTCCTTCTGCTAGGTGAAAGAAAATAGTGCCAACATAAAACTACTCACAGGTCATGATTTTAGGAAAGAGACATTGCTGTTGAGTTTTTCAAATGGATTTATCCTTATGTTTTAAGCACCACAAGCCGAGTGCAATCTAGTTCCATTCTGCAGCCGATATCTCCAACACTTGGCAACTCACACCAAAACAATCTCAACTGATAAATAGCACTACTGGTAAGAGGAAAAATATGCTTTTTTGATTTTGATTTTGTAAAAGATATACACATTTTTTAAGCAGGGAGCATTTTTCAAAATTGTTTCAATATATATGTATACATATCTTGCTCTAGTTAAAGCCAATGTGATCTGCGATGAGTCCACAATGACAGTCGAGGTTGAGAAAGCTTCCTTTCCTCGACTCCATGAAGATCATTTGCGACTTAATGATCCTGTCAACACAGCCTGCAGCCTCCAGACAAACTCCAACAGCACTCATATCATCGCTGTGGTCCCCCTCAATGCTTGTGGCACTCAGATAGAGGTAACGCAGGGTCATTTGTTCTGTCACCCCTTATTAGTGTTGTTTTCATTAGTAGTATGACTGATAACCTTTAACTCTGCAGGAAGATGATGACGACCTAACTTTCAAGAATGAAATCACCACACTTGACAACATAGGAGATCTGATCACCAGGAGACACATGGTGGAGGTGCAGTTCTCCTGCAAGTACCCCAAACGTGGAAATGTGACACAGAGCTTCTCAGTGCACAGGAAGAATGTCACAGTGTGTGAGACAGGCTTTGGCACTTTCACCTACCAATTTGAATTCTATCCCACCAACCAATACCGAACCATGGCTGATCCAAATTCATACCCTCTGGAGTATGATGTAGGGAGCGAGATTCACATGCAGATAGAGGCCACCTCCACAGTCAACAACACTGAGCTGTTTGTGGAGTCCTGCAGAGCTGCACCATATGATAACCCAAACTACCAGCCAACCTACTCCATCATTGAAAACGGGTAGGTATGAGTACACCACCAAGTGGCAACACAGAACAGAACAATGTATTTGTAATTTGTTGTCTTTTATATGAGAGGTAAGTGAGACTGATGAAAATGATATGTCCTTCTGTCTTCCATCCGAGTGTTTCACACTGCAGATGATTATCTCCTCTTATCATGGGGCTCATCTCTGCAGTATGACAATGTCAGGATGCAAAACTCAGTGCTTCACTTACTTCATCTTTATCATCCTGATCATGTAAATACCTTTAATAGGACAATACCTCAGCCCCTATACAGCCCCCACCAGCATAGAGTTACAGAAGCAATATTTCTTACCTTTTTGTTTGTTTGTTTTGCTCTGACTAGGTGTAATGTGGACCCGACTGTTGTTGTCCATCCATCCTCCCATGATAGAGAATTCCGGTTCAGCATGGAGGCCTTCAAGTTCATCGGCATGTATGACCAGGTAAAGAATGTGGTTAGACTGAAGCAAGGGACTAAAATTGTCTCTGTAATATTCCTAAATGTTTCAATGAATAGGTCCAAATTATAATTTGCTCTTTTTATGTGTACACAATGTAATACAACATATCTTTATACTGAAGCCACAGGACGTAACACCCAATCAAAAAAAGAGAAATAAATCTCTAAACACCTGACATGCTTATCATGTCAATAACTGGTGTAAACTAAACATTCTCCAAAGTATTATTGCAAAAAAAAAATTGTACAATAAGAAAGAAAATAGATCAAAAGATATAAAAATAATTCTATGAGAAGCTGGTGGACCAATCCGAAATAAGCAATTTATCAACATTAAAAGGTTGTTCAAAAAGATGAAGCAGATCAAATATAACCAGTGCGAGTGTAACAAAACATGTAGACTTTTACATGTCTCTGTTTTCCATTTAATCGTTTATAGAAACATAATCAATTTCCCCTTTTTATATTTTCATTGACACACTCCAGTTCCTGGCATGTATTATTTGTCTTGTTTTTAAATCAGTTTTCAAAAATGTTTATTGCCTCTCTGAGATTTGGTTCCACATTTTGTTTTAGAGTTAAGATGTGTGGCTTTCGTAAAAAGATGTTTTAAATGAACATGTAGCACTTGATATAATGACAGTGTGTTCTGCTGCATTCAGGTGTACATCAGCTGTTCGGTCATGATGTGTGAAGCAGGGGTCCCCAACACCAGGTGCTCGCAAGGATGCATCAATTCAGTATCAGTGCCAGGCAATCTAATCACAAACCGCCGCAAGAGACAGGCTGTCACTCAGAGTTTAAGGCACTTGGTTTCCCAGGGTCCCCTGCGCTTTAGGAGGTCAGCAGAGAGCACCGGAAACCCAGGTATGAAAAGAGGAAATGTTTTCTCTTTGATAGACAACTATGTTTATAAGTGAAAATGGGACAGGTATAACATTTACGTATATTTACATATCACCATATTTTCAGGAAATGCTGTCTTAACCGCACACCTGCCTAATTTAAGTCCCAGTTCAGACAAGATGAAAATAAAATTGTGCTTCTCTTTTCTCCAGGGATCAACTTGAACCTGAACTTGGTATTCATTGCTGGATGTCTTCTTGCAGCTGTTGGCATGATCAGTGCAGTGGTCATGTACAAAGCCAAAATGTCCAGGGTCAGATACCAACCACTGCCCAGATATGACAGTTAAGACAGCTGTGTGTGCAAAACACCTATTCTGTCTTAGATACTGCCATGTGTAACATCACATATTAAGGTATTGACAGAGCTGCAACATGCATTAAGATTTTTAACCCAATGAAGGCAGTGCAGCATTACTTTTTGCTTTGACTACATAAAGCTTTTTGGTTAGTTTTACTATCAGATTGAGTTATCAAGTATCTGGTTATGTGTGCAGTTAAAAGAATTAATTTTATATCTACACCTTTAGAAATACAGCTATATGACAGAAAATATTTAGTGAGGAACAATTAACCAGAAAGGAAGTTTTATATTAATCAGCACTGAAAGGATGATCAACCAGTACTGCAACTGCTAGCTGACTTTTCACTTGTAGTGTAACCTTGTAACCCTATCTTTTCAAACGCATCTACTATTATGTATCCCAGTATGATTTAAAACAAGTATCTTGATCTATACATGAAGTCCTACCTAGTCATAATCACCATAATCAGTCCTGTGCCAAATGTTATCATTACATGTCAAAGCCCTTTACAGCTTAACCAAAGTCAATTATGATTCACTTGATAAATGTATCAATAAAAACATTTATTCTCTTACATATATTTTTGCTTTTATTCACAATAATTCTCTTTCTCTCTTCCACACCAACACATTCTTTTGTTCCAATGTTGTTTCAAGTCTGTAGAGAAGACATTACTTTGAATAATTTCCTGTTCTGAAGTTCATCATGTTTCATAATTTGTACAGCAATCAAATGATGACATCTGCATTGATGCAGAAGTTATGGAAGATTATAAACTTTAAAAGTATACAACAAAGTTGTCACAATTGTAAGTATTGCTGTCTTATGTACTGTGGAGGCATCTCAAATTAAAGGTATGCAGGATTGTCGGTTACCATTTCTAAACAAGCTCGCCAATGAAATTGAAAGTAAAAGCCAACCCCAATTTCTCTCTTGTTTGGCATTTCATCTCGCTATATTTGCATTTTTTCTGCACTGTGCTTCTTGGATGCCTGCTACTCAGTATGGCACCTGATCACTACGTTTTTATTAAGCCCCAACCTTACCTGAGGCGCTGTGGGGGTACACGCCCATAAAAGTCCCGAACACAGAAAATAAAAAAAATAATAATATAATATAATAATAATAAAAATAAGAAAATACTGGCAGGGTAAAGTCTCATTAGATTAATCAACCACCACACACTGAGGGGGTCCTAAGAGGTGATTGAGAGGGATTACTTCTGTATAAGTCTACACAATGTTATTTAGGAAAATCCTGCATAGTATGTCTTTAAGACTAAACCTATCAAAAGTGGTACAATAATTCTCAAACTTCAAGCATGTAGCATACTGATTAAAATCATCTTCAAAACTCCATTCACAAGCAGCAATCTAGAAGAAAAAGGCAACTTTGAGTGCCATGAAAAAATAAACCAACGGCACATGATGCTTTCACAGTAGAAGTATAGGCTTAGTAAATCCAGGCAGTTCAATAGAGTTAATCTATACCCAATACCAGTATAGGGTATTATATAACTTTTTATTACTAGCTGAATTAAAGTAAATTTAAGAAAATATTTCCTAAGATGCTTCTGTGGTTTCGTTAATAGATTTAACCAGGGGTTTACTGCTCTTTTGGGCTGTCTTGTATGAGGGGACTGGGTGAACACTGTTATGGTCAGAATGAGACGGGCAGGTCTGTGGCTGTGTATGCATGTTTTACAACACCATAGCACTTGTCTAAAGCCTGAGTCTACCTGGTATCACATTTACTATTCTGTTCAAAACCTGGCAATGCGGTATTAAGGTTAATGATTAAGATCTCCGATAATGAAAGTCTGGGCATTTGTGGTGCACTGTAGTTGTTTGTGAACACATTTTACCTCTCTATATTGGCATTTTTTATTTAAATTTAAGAAATACAGGAAGAGAGCAGGGTCATACCACACATTTCTAGTGAGTCAAAAGTGATGACTGAGAGGAATTACTTTTGTATGAGTATTAGTAATTGATGAAATTGGGGGTCTGCAACCTTTGCCATTAAAAGCCATTGCCATTTTTGACCAAGAATAATTTGAAAAAACCTGCGTGGAGCCACAAAACATGTTTGAGCCTTATAATCAAGGTAAATAGCCTATTAAGTCTAAATTAGCGTATACTTATTGTCTAAATAAGCATTTGTTAATATGTTTTACCACAAGGTGGATACTGTGCAGGGCACTATTTATGATTATTTGGTACTTAAATTTTGCAGAGCTGGCAGTGAGAGCAAACAAATCTGTCCACGCACTACTACATTCTCTATTTTATTCAATTTACTTTTTTGGATTTGGCATCCATAGCTAACCAGCCACTGCTATCAAGGTTCATCAACATTTGGATTCATAGAATGAATTTCCATAGAATTCTTTTCTCAAAGGCTCAAGGAGCCACTGGACAGGGGCTAAAGAGCCACATGTGGCTCCGGAGCCACAGGTTGCCTACCCCTGGACTAAATGTTCATATGACTTACACCAATCTGACAGTAACAGTTAGAAATATATTTCTAATCTGACAGTAACAGTTAGAAATATATTTCTTTTGAAATTAAAACCCAGGCGTGTCGAAGAGCTAAAGTAGGGGTAAAAGTACATAAAGTACAAATACATTTGGGCAATACAAACCTTACAATTCCTGTTACTGATCACAAACAATTTAGAAAACAGCATTTGAGCTTAAATCAATTCATCAAACAACTCTTATAATAACGAAACTTAATAACAACAACGAGACTTAATCACAGAATCTTAATGGTCCAGAATCTCAATCATTAATAATGTAGAGCTAGCCTGGAAATTCTTTCATGATGCTTTCACTGTTATCATAAATAAACATGCCCCCATCCGCAAATATAGAGTAAAGGGTAGAAACAATCGTTGGTTCTCTCCCGAGCTGTCCAGACTACTCAAAGTAAGGGATGCTGCCTGGGCTAAGGCTAGAAAATCTAAATCTCAGGATGACTGGCAGAAATTCAGGCAGCTTAGAAACCGTTTCACTTCCCTTGTTAAAAAGACTAAATCCCAGTTTTATCTTGACCAGACAACTCGTAATTTAAATAATCCCAAGAAGTTCTGGAAAGTAGTTAAATCCTCATTTGGGGAAGAAATCACAAATGAGTTACCTTCTTTTATTGTAAAAGATTCACTAACCATAAATAACAAATCAGACATTCTTAACTGTTTTAATGAACATTTTATTTCCTCAGGGTCTTTATTTGAGTCCTTACATCCACATCATTTGAGCAAACAGCAGTTTGGCCCTCAGACGCCACCTCATAACAATATGGCTCCAGAATTTGACATCGCTCCTTTTCATGTAGCTGAGGTCCTCAGAGCTCTTCAACAATTGGACCTCAGTAAATCTGCTGGACCTGACAACCTCGAGCCTTTCTTTCGAGTCTGCTGCAAACTTCATAGCAGTACCTCTGTGCCATATTTTTAATCTTACCATTTCTGAATACAAGATTCCAGACATATGGAAGTCTGCTCATGTCCTTCCCCTGTTGAAAGATGATGCCCCCTCTAATGTTAATAACTACAGGCCCATCTCTAAGTTATGTGTTCTCTCCAAGGTTCTCGAAAAGTTGGTCAGTGAACAGCTTAAATACTTTAGATGAATATGGTCTCCTTGCACCGCATCAATCAGGTTTTCACAAAAAGCACAGCACGACAACTGCTGCTATTAAAGTGGTAAATGATATAACTGAAGCACTTGATTCTTGCAAGTATTGCGCAGCCCTTTTTATTGACCTGTCAAAAGCATTTGACACAGTCGACCACGTCATCCTTGCACATAGACTCCGTAAGATTGGTTTATCCAGCCAGGCTGTAATGTGGTTCAACAACTACCTATCGGGCAGAACACAGCGTGTCCAGGCCTCTAGGTCCTCTTCTTCCCTTCTTCCTGTTTCAAAGGGTGTGCCACAAGGCTCGATATTAGGGCCACTGCTCTTCACAATATACGTGAACAACCTTTGTGATAATTTGACAAATACTGTGTCCCATTTTTATGCTGATGACACAGTTATTTATTGTTCATCTCCATCAGTATTACAATGCTTTGAATACTTGCAATCTGCTTTTGATGTTGTACAGTAGTCCCGCCTGAATGAACTCAAATTAGCGCTAAATGCGAATAAGTCAAAGGCTATGCTCTTTTCAAATGGCAAGCAGCTCCTATCAAACATTCCCAGGTTGTCAACTGTCCAAGGAGCTGAAATTGAATTGGTCGCCTCTTACAAACACTTAGGCATATTGATTGATGACAACCTGACTTTTAAGCCCCATATTGATTATCTTGTTTCTAAACTGAAACTTAAATTAGGTTTCTTCTTTAGAAATAAATATTATCTTTCAATTCAGGTAAGGGAACGATTAATTTTAATGACCTTTTTACCTTTACTGGATTATGGAGATCTGCTTTTTATGAATGCACCTGACCAGTCTCTAAAGAAATTGGACATAGTTTATCACTCTGCTTTGCGGTTCATGACTGGTAGTGATCACCGTGTTCATCATTGTTCTTTGTATGCTGCCGCAAGGTGCCCCTCTTTATCTGTTCACAGGTTCTCCCACTGGTTGAAGTTTATATATAAATCTATACTTGGGCTTCTCCCCCCATGCTTCTCCCCCCATACTACTACATGTGCAGAACCTCCAGCCATTACAGACTGCGATCCCAGAACATCATACAGATGCAGGTCCCAAGAGTCAGGACTGAGTTGGGGAAAAAGGTGTTTAAATTTTCTGCCCCCTCAAGCTGGAACACCTTGCAAAAGGATTTAGGGCTGACTGAACTTATTGGCCTGGGGGATTTCAGATCAGTTTTGAAGGATCGAGAAAGGAGATCTTTCGGCTCTTGTGTTTGCCTTATGTAATCTGTAAATTTTTATGCTGTTTGTATAATTCTATGTGGTGTTGTTTGTGCACTGCTTTCTTAGCCAGGTCATCTTATAAAAGAGGTTTTTACATCTCAGTGAGTTTTACCTGGTTAAATAAAGGATAAATAAAAATAATAATAACAACAGATTTTTTTAGATTTGATTTTGGTGTTACTATGCACAGGGTTGCCTCACTGTCCAAACTTGACCCTCTGTATCACTCAGCACTGACGTATATTACTAAACCTAGCTTCAGGTCCCATCAGGGCTGGCCCAATCACATTTTCAAAAACCCTCTCCCTTTGGGCTCAGAGCCTTTATTACAAAGCAACACAAAGGAGGCACAACAGATTGCAGGTCAAGAAAACACTTTTAATCCAAACTTTTCCCACCCTTTTAGCTACTGGCTGGCTGCTCAGAATAACTCAGTCTCATCTCTCCCACTCCTCTCTCTGAGTGACACAAGTTACAGCAGGAAGAGTAAGAGTACAGTAATATACATAAAAAATATAAACAAAATCCCACTCCTTATGTGCTGAACTGTCTCGGGCATCTTTGCACAGCCTGCACCTGGGGTCCTGTCTGGTGTGGTAGACCCCTGCTTCTAATGATCTTGTAGTAAGTGCCT